GTCAGTGCTGGCATTCAAATACCACTCCCTTAGATGGCGACTATTGATCTCCATTAAAAAATAATGAAATAAAATAAACATAATACCATGTGGTAGACAAATTCCATAAAGTCTCGGTGGATTTATATGAGATCTTGCAAGTTCTTTTATGTGTGTGTACTGCTGCATTCTTGCTGTTCTTGAAGGCAATTAACAATGAAGGGAGCAAAGTCCGTTGATAAGCGCTTATCAAATGATAACTTGAGTATGAAATAAAATTGTACAACCTGCCTTTCAGTAAATAGCCCTGGCTTGTGGTATCTGCCTGAAATCTTTATAACCTCCAGTTTTGAAATTCTTCAAAAATTTCCGTCTTGCTGGAACATGGAAAGTGGAACTGCTGGAGTTCAGTTGCTAGACACTTGACTACTCAAATGACTCTCTAGCTAGTAATATCTGACCATGGTTCAGAATGCTATGAAAGTAAGGAGGCTGTCCTTCAAACCATGAGTGAGGCCACCTTTTATTGGTTGAGAGTTACAGTCATTTTTTGCAGCACGGGTGCTGCAGTGGGAAGGGAGGTAAAAGTTGGTGGTGCTGGGACTCTTTTTTCCCTCTGGGATTATGGGGAACGAGTAGCTTTCTTAAAACAAGTAATGCATCCTTTTAGGCCTTACAGTGCCTTTTCATATATTTTCTACCTCAAAAAGGTGAACACTTCCACCATCATTTTTCAAAAAGGACAGAAGGTGCTCCAGAGGCCAGAAGGTGCTCCATACAATCCTCAGGCCACAAGTCACAAGGCTATAAGCTGTTCCATAATTTTAATTTCAAGATATTCTATGAAAGCTCATGATTAAACATGGAACTACTAGAGGAAAAGACAGGTGGAGAGGGTGAGAAGCCAGAAGGTATCCACACTACCAGGTAGGACAGGCAGTCAACCCTTTGTTATGCATTTCCAAGATGGATGCACTGCCATTAGTTGAGGAATTTACAATGACTAAACTTTGGCCTGAATATATGAGAATTCCACCCTGGTACTGCACTTCTCTCTCGAGGACAAGACGCTGTTTCAGAGCTTTCCTTTTCTTTCCTTGAAAAACCGATAAGCTGATATGCCCAGCAGACTAGCACATGAATAAGACTGCTCCCTAGGCTGGGCAGCAGACCAAATCAACTCCAGTTCTCAGTTTACTATATTTGTTAAAGCATCCAGCCCAGAGGAGTCCGAAATGATTAGTTCCAGTTTAAAATAAAGCAAAACTAGATGTTGCTAATCAAAACATACCAGAGTTGACTACCTAAACTCATCCAGAATCTTAATGCTTGAGGATACTTAGAGGATGATTCCTTAAGATTCTGCAGCTGGGCCTGGCCTTGACTCTCTACCAGCCCTTGAAGACCAAACAGATTCATTCCACAGGGGTTTTGTGGGGGTTGGGAAGAGCTTCCAAGGAGGGAAATTCAAATTTTATTTATTTAGATGTAAAGAGTGCGCAGCTCTGGACAGCTCACACTTTAAAAGAATAAAAGCATTAAAAAAGCTGAAGAGACCATGTATGTCAGGACCAAACATACTACATAAACAGTAAAAACACAATGAACAGGGGCTCTGCAACCACCCTACCCCAAGGCATGGAAGAACAGCTGGGTTTTTAAAGACTTCTGGAACCTCATCAGTAGGGGAGCTACACAGATTGTTCTGGGATGCTGTTCCAGAAGGCAGGTGCCATGACAAAGAAGGCACGCTTCCTGTGTTGCAATAGATGGCATTGTTTAATGGACACGACCCAAAGTGCACTATGTCTGTCCAATCTTACCAGCCAGTTAGTATCTAATGATCAATCAGTGTCTTAATTACCTAATTTGTTGTCTGTAGGTGATCCCATAGTAACTGTTCAGATTAAAGTTGAGTAGTAAGAAAACCAGCCTAGGATGTAGATTCTGGTAGGATTTTGATCTGGGCATCTCTGTATATATTCTCTATTTGAAGGAGTAGACTAGCAAAGGAGTAGTGTGGATATATCGCATTGAGCTTTTAATGTTGCCTGTAGAATATAGGATTGAGAGCAGATGTAAGCACCAGCAAACTCCTGTGAGGTCCTTTTCTTTCTTCCTGTCAGCAGAGTAGATTAAAAACTTTCTTGGCTTCTAATTGCTTCTGAAGCCTTAAAAAAAGAGAATAAATGCTTACTTTGCATCAGACATGAGGGTGCTCAAATGCTGGGAAAGCAATTCTCATTTAAAATGAGGCTTTCCCTTACCAGCAATGCATGTGATGTTGTCACCAAACTAGCAGATATGTTCCTTGGTTCATATTTAGAGAGGAAATGTGAATTCCTTATGATAAAGGAAAATAACAGTATTTGTCTCTGCATCTCAGTTTTCATTTATCTGGCAAATTTATGTGCTGCCTAATCCTGATGGCTTAGGTAGCTCCATTTAACAGATAAAATCATTTGCAAATAGCAGCATACAAATTCTATAAACACTTTTTTAAAAGCCTGGAGCAAAAAGATCTATTTTAAACTGGCTGTAAAAAGAGGGCCAGCTTCAACTCCAAGTGGCATGTTGTTCCAGAATATAGACTGTGTTTCAGAAAAGGCAGAATCTCTTGTCAATGGGAGGGGGGGAGGTTGCAAAAGTGCTCCATTGAAGACCTGAGAGCATAAAATAAACTCTATGGAATTAAGTAGTCTTCCCATGGATAAGTTATCAAATGAAGCAGGTTGAAGAGTTACAGCATATATTCTGCTAGGTTGACTTGCTCCCACATGTACCCAAATACCAGGAAAAGGCTCATTAATTGCTCCATGTTGAATTGGGAAATCCAAGGGAGGGACTATCCATGTGTGTAAGGCTAACAATTGGAAGTAACAGCCAGGCTGAACTTCAGCAGCTGGGTCATAGTAGCTTGTTCCAAAAAAACTTTCTCATTTTCAAGTTTTGGCTTTTGTGTTTAAGCCACAGGCTTGGCTTACAGCTACAACCGAATCTGCAGTTGATTAGTAGTGATGGAAACTCCCTTCTGGATTACAGTCAGCCCAAGCTGTCAAACAGCATTGTCTCACTGAATGTTGCGGTAGTGGAAACATTAGTACAAATATTTACGACTTCTCTGCATATGAAAGATTGGCATTGCCTTCTGTTTACAGAAAACCCAACTTGTGTCAAGGCACCAAAGGGCACATTTCTTTCTGAAGACTGAGGTTCGATATGGGTTTCTGTTTGTTTTTGTGAAGTAAAGATGCTTTCAAGCAAAGACATCTCCACCGTTAAGTTTTCCATGTGGACCAACTTGTGAAAGGGAAAGGTGCATGAGAAGCTTCTTCTCTAACACGTCTTGGCCATCCACTTCCCATGGATTCTGCTGGGACAAGCAAGATAAAAAAAAATCAGATTTGGTGCAAGATTCAGCTTCCAAAACTGCAGTACCACAACCCCCCAAATTATTGCCTGTAAACAAATTGTGGAGAAGTTATTTTCTTTAATGTGTTACAGTTCTGTGTAATCTTAATATAGGGATGTACAACTAATTAGCTGCATACAGTTCCAAAGCCTTTTTTTTTTTTTAATGTCCATTATGGTCCCCAAATTGCTACACTGAAATTCAGTGGCCAACTAACAATAACTATGGTGTAGTTTTCCACAATTACTACAGCAACTACCTAAAAAGAAAATGACATGAAATTAAGTTGATGACCAATTATTACTCCCAGCCTGGAAAGATTGCACAAAAAGAAACGGATTTAAAGAAAGACAAAGATCAGTACTTAGATTGCATACTTTGTCATCCAGGACTGTCAGTTCCTATTGTTTCTTGAGATTTATCTCCCCGCCCCAAAAAGCCCCTACTGATTAAAATAAGTACCTTTATAATAAGGTACCCTGTTCTCATTCACAAACACCCACTGTCCTCTCACCAGTGTACATACACACTATGCTTCACACAGAGAGAGACCTGATACTTGGCTTCAGCACGTTGTACATGCGTACTCTGTAATAGGTCCCATTACATTGGTTTTTACTCCCAGGTACGTACACCTAGGCAATTGCTGTTCTAAACCTTGAGCAATTTATTCCTTGTTGTCATATTACTAGAGAATGTCAGACAAGTCTCTCCATGCCTATGTAATTATTTGGAGGAAACATTCCTTAACTTCCTTTTTGATACCCTTTCCTTTTTGGTGAATACTGTAAATAAAAAGATGGAGCAAGCTTTTAATAGGCTTAATATATATTTAACCACCCAAAAAGAGGGAGAAAGGCTGAAAGTTCCAGCTTCTACCCCTCTTGTGAACAAGTGGCCTTAATCAGTGGAAAAACGAATAAATAAAAATGCAGATCCTAGCCCTTGTCAGTTTGTTTTAAGACAGGAACCTTTATAAGACAGAACCCATTTTCAGATATGTGATTTGTTCGTCTCCTAAATATGTATGCAGGTACATTTGCAATTTTCTCAAATCCTAATGTGCACAATCTGATGCTGCATGATGATGAAACCAAAGTTTGGTCAGTGTTTGGATAGGGAAGCATTTGGGCAACCCATAAATCTGTTATTCCATAAGAAGCAAAGGCATAAGATACACTTGAAATAAGAAAGTAGGTGTCCCCAGGGACAATCTTCCTCATAATGTTGTTTAAATTTCTTCTGTCAGTCATTTTATTCCCAACCTGTGGCGAGGTTGATTAAGAAGGACACAAAGGGGAAAAATATTAAGCAAAGGGTCTCTAAAGCCAAGCATTATGAATGAATCCAAGGTTCATTACAATAAACCAGCAGCCATTGTGATAAACTAGTGTAGCCAGAGATGAATACGAAAGGGGGGCAATTGTTGTCTGTCTCATGGTGGTTCTGGCCATGCAAGGACTTGTAGAAGCCGGATGCATCCAGAATGATTATTTAGGGTCGGAGTGAATCTCTAGCCCACAGTAACCCTAAGCAGCATTTAAGGAAACCAAGGATCCTATATTCACCTTCTTGATCCCCTGAAACAGTGTTTTTTTTTCTTTTGCAGACGAATGAGTGGAATAAGAATGATGACCGACTCCTGCAAGCTGTGGAGAATGGAGATTTGGAGAAAGTGGCCTCCCTTTTGGGCAAAAAGGGAGCCAGCGCAACCAAACACGACAGTGAGGGCAAGACCGCGTAAGTTTACTTCGCCTTCTCAGTTGAATAACCATGCTTGAGTCCAGGGATGGACATTTGGCAGTCCCAGAGCTCCAGACTCTCCTCAACTGTGCTGCTAAATTTTTGTGACAAATTTGCTGAAAGTTGGCTAGCTTCATTTCCTGTCACTTTGGAGTGGGAAATACAAGGAGAAATAGTCTTAGAACAATTAAAAACAGCAACCGCAACCAAAAAAGAGATCCCTGCTGGTGGGAAAAAATGTGGGGGGGGAAAATGACAAGCTCGGCCCCAGTGGCTGGAATTAGCGTCAGCCTCTTTGGTCCATGATGCATCTGTTACAGTCCTTAACTCCCCCCCAAATGCTAAGTGCTTTAGAGGAGTTGGCCACCAAAAGATGGCCCACTTGTGGTTAAACAGATCGTTTATATTTAGCCCAAACAAGACAGATCATCCTCAGACTGGATTCTGTAAAAGTTGGTTGGAGCAATAGCTTGCAAAGTAAAAAGGAGTATCATTGAAAGTACAAATGAGATATATGTTTCCAAATGAGATGAGAGGACCTTCTGCCATTTTACACCCCTTCCCCACCTCCAATATATCTTCCAAGATTACTTTTCCCCTCTACTCATCCAATAATGCAAATGGAGCCATGGGGAGAAGTAGTTAGAGAGACTATAATAGAAATGAAGGCTTGGTGGATAGAAAGGGGAGTGTTCTCCCATTAGCAGTCCCTCTTTATGCATTCATAGTAGGTCCATGCAGAACCCCTAATTCAAGGGACATAAAGTGATATGGAGCGTGCATAGGCAGACACGTACCACCTTTCAGGAACATCTTCAACAGCTTTGTCTTTTCTTGGGTTCCCAAAGCTCCCTCTGCAGCTGGCACACAGATCTAGGAAAATATATGTTTGGCTTAAGGTGTTTTCAGCAATACAGAGAGTGTTCTCCAAATCATGTTTTGCCCTTTGGATCCGGATCTCTGTACAGCCCTAATAAATAGCACCCACTCTTTTTGCTCTGAGGCTGATCCACTTTTAGATATGTGTAGGATGTGGAATGTGTCATTCTATCTATTGAAGAACATCACAATTAAAATTAGTTCTGCTTTTTTAAAATGTACTTGTGTCATTCTGGATCTTCATAATCTTGATAGCTGTTTGTGTTCCAGTTTGAGTTCTGATAGCTTATGCAGGGTGTGTTGCATTTTTCTTTCTTCTTTTAAAGACACAAATAATATAAATAGTCCAGCATTGAAACCTGCAGAAAGAATTGATTTCATTGGACACTTCAAAAATAGCTTACATTTTCAAGTCCCTTGATAAAAGAAAACCCCTCTGAATTGTGAGTGGGTTGAGAAGGAGGAAGCAGCCAAGGCGAGAAGACTTGGGCAGTTTATGGCAAAGTCTGAAGCTGAAAAATGGAGCGTGCTTGCTTTGTTTACAGAACCATGTTCTTGGCTAATTCTAGCTTGCTCTGGGTTTGCTTTTGCTGCATTGTCCAGTTTCTGTTTGGATGAAGAAATAGAATTACAACTTGGAGTGACCTGAACTGAAAGCTCTAATGTAGCTTCGAATTTCCCAAATAAGGCTTTCTCCACATCTTAATATGGCATTACAGGACCTAGTTATCCTTCTGTTATGTTTTAGAGGGGAAGAAATGGGAATTGGATTAAGTGCCCATAACAGCTTCCTTTAAGTGGGTATCCTCATGTATTGGACTGCAATTTGGGAATGATGGGACTGATAGTTCCAAATATCTGCAGGGCAGCTGATTGGTGAAAGCTTTTTGAAGACCAGGGTTGGTCCTGTTGTTAACCATTGGCAAAGTGAAGCAACCATGTCAAACAATAAATCTTGGTTGTCATGAAAAGGCAGCAGACTCCTGAGTTATTTAATGTACAAATATTTTACAGCCAAAGATGGGAAGGAGTATTTATGTGATTTTGTGGCCCACGTGCCAAAGAAGTATGCTGTTATAAATCTTGTTTTGGGTGGAAGAGGGCCTCCATTTGCTCCTCTACCTTAAGCAACAAAGTATCTTAATTTAAGACAGATAATAAAGCATGTATAATTTAAACTGCCCTGTATGTTACTTCTTTACTGTATATTATCTATAGCACCCTCCCTATACAATGATTTATGACTCTCTGATTCCGTTTCTGCAATCTGATGTGGTTCAGTCTGCTACCTTGCTGTGAAGTGTGTTTAGTGTTGATCTTTTCCCATTGGCATCTGCGGGTTCCCCAATTTGAAGTTGTCCAGATGTGTTGGGACTACAGCTTTCAGAAGTTCAAGCCAGTGGCCAGCTGACTGAGGAATAATCTGTGTCCCTGTTGAGAGACATGGAGATGGCCTTGAGGGAAGTATTTAGAAGCTGTTACAAAAACACAAAGGGCAAAAGCATTCCTTGAGCTGTATTAGGAAGAGACTCAGGCTGGCTCCTGCTTGACTCACTTGGGCAAGGTTCCTCAGCCTTGGTGACTTGAAGATGTGTGGACTTCAACTCCCAGAAGTTGGCTGGGGAATTCTGGGAGCTGAAGTCCACGCACCTTCAAGTCACCAAGGTTGAGGAACCCTGCACTAGGGTATAAGAGAGAAGGAAGGAAAAACACAATCAGACTTGCAATACAGGTAGTCCTCGCTCACCGACCATTCATTTAGGGTTGGAAGTTATAATGGCCTTGGAAAGGGTGCTTTACAACCCATAAAGCACTTCTGGCCATTGTAAAACGTAGCACCCCCCCCCAAAGTCATGTGGCCACATTTCAGGCACTTTGTAACTGGCTAACATTTACGACCGGTTGCCAAGCACCCCGCGATCATGTGATCTCCATTTGCAATCTTCTCTGTCAACTTCCCCAGAAAGTCAGTGGGGAAGCTGGCAGGGAAGGTTGCAAGCAGAGGGTTTGAACTCCTTTCTTCCAGCCCCGCAAAGGATTTCCTCTCCACGCACAGAGGGGAGGAGAAACCCTTTGGTGGGTTGCAAGAATGATTGAGAGTGAAACAGAGTCCACTTAATGACTTGAGAGATCGCTTAACAACCACAACCAGCATTGCGGTCGTTGAGTGAAGCAGTCACATGGTTGTCTCACTTAATGACCACTTTGCTCAGTGATCAAGATTCTGGTCCCAATTGTTGTTAAGTGAGGACTACCTGTATTCTGTTACAATAGCATGTCTCAATAAAGCTTAGTTCTAATTTTCTTGTGGAATCTGTTTCCTGATCTGGACAACCTCAAAGGGCTGGAAGACTGCTTCAAACTTTGTAGAAATTAGTCAGTTCAGAACACAGTTATAAGCAGCATATCTTAGCCTGCAAGAGTGTTCTGTTATAGAGTCCTAAGTGTAAAACAAAATTCAGCCACACAGTGATGTTTGAAGGTGCTTTGGTGTGCAGGTCTAGACTGTTTGTATTATGTAGCAAAGGATGAATGATTTATTAATTCTACAATTGACTTTTTTCATATATGTCTGTGTGTGGTGACAGATTGATCATATAGCAATGGCAGAATGCATAACCAGTTTCTCCAGTGAGATGTGTGGTGCAAAAGGGTTAAAATATCTTTTTCCTCAAAACCTTTTCTGATGAGAAAAACAGGTGCTATTATAATTTTAAATCATCTGCTTTTTATCACTACATTCAGTCTCCACTGGAATGGGATTGGGAAGAAGGAACTGTCAATTGCCTACATATTTTAATGTATTTTTAATGTATTTTTTAATTATTTTTTCCTTTCTATATAAAGATATTTTCTATAGCAGGAGGTGGGAATTCGATGTTGTTCAATAGTTCTGGGCCTATTTGGAACAACAGAGAGAGAAGTATTAATACAGCCTTCTCCAGCCTAGAAGCTTTCAAATGTCTGGGATTTTAGTTCCATTATTCCCAGTCAGCGTGCTGTGCTGGTTTGGGATTATGGGAATCAAAGTCCCTCATTCTTGGACTTCGCCACCAGGTTAGATAAGGTTAATTCATATGTTACTAGTGTTGCAGAAATGCTGCTTTTATCGGGCTGAATTCTGCAGAAAAGGTGTCTGTGAAATGGTGCCAATCTCGGGGCCAAGTCTTTTTGTAACCCGAGGCACCTGGTAATAGATTCTTGTAAATGTTCCTGTCCCATATCATTCTGTTACCCCATATTTACTAATGCATCTGTTGGAAAGCTACAGTTATTCTTTCTTGAGCACCTATAAACAGAAACCTAATTCTTAATTCTTGAGCATGAAACTGAGCAAACTCAGGGAGGCAGTGAAGGACAGGAAGGCCTGGCGCAATATGGCTC